ATCTACCGTAATCGACTATTTGGACCCTACCTTTTGCCTGCAAGGTTAAATGCTGCGACCTTCTTGGAATTTTTAATGGCTGAACATGCAAATATGTGGGATGATGTTATGTTAGATTTAAGAAGATTGGCCTGGTTCCAGCTTGCTGGTTGTCCAGCTCATTATTCGAGAATAGTTAGAAACTGACTGGGCGAAAATTATCCAGAAAGATGGATCGCCTGGCCTCCACGATCCCCTGACCTAAATGCAATAGACAGAATCAGGAATGCATGTGACGAAATAAGGCCTTATTTGAATAATGCTATACCACGTTCGATCATTCGTAGATGTGAATTGTGTATTGAACAATTGGGTTTACATTTCGAGCAACTACTTTAGATTTTGTATGTTTGTCCTAACTATCCAATAGTATTTTAGTTGTAAATAATTAATTTAATTTGTTAAAAATAATATTGGAAAATTAAACAAATTAATATTCTGTTTTTTTGTGTTTATTTGGAGTTAGGAATTATTGCTGTGTTTAAAAACACAATCTAAACGATCATCTTAATTACTTGTAATGCCCAAATCGAAAATTAAAAAAAAAATATTATTTTCCCATAAATAATTAAAAATGCATCGAACCTTAAAAATCTAAAATCTCAAAAACGAAACGAAAACTCACATGAGAGCTTTTTTATGCAGAAAAGTGCGAAGAATCAGTTCTCTTGTTCAAAAAGCAAAAAATTGCACTAAGAAAAAATTTTCGGTCATTTCAATACACTACAGATACGGTAGAGAGCGCCCTCTAGCGGCTACAGTAAAACTATGCCCATGGTTCGTTTTGTCGTACCAAAAAACCCTTGTATACCAACTTTCACTGTTATAGATCAAATATTGTTCGAAATATTTAAAAAAAACTATTTTAGAAAGTAAATTTAAACACCCTGTATTTCGGAAGCCACGCATGTTTCGACCCATGTTTATATAGACTTTATGCATTAATTTTAAAAGTTCTATCGAATCTTAAAGTTATGCAACAATAAACTGAAACACCCTGTAGAATAAGGTCATATATTTTGGAGCGAAACGAAGGCGCATACTCAAAGTATTACAGCGTAGAGGAAGAGGATACTCCGGACATTCCTCTAACTGCATCATTAACGAATAAACTGAATGCACCTGAAGTTTCAGCCGACTATAACGAGCAAGTTTTAGTGGAAGAAATAGATGAGCTCGAGTATGATGGGCTGAAAAATTTGGCCGGCTTTGTTTGCCATAAATTGCAGTTGAAAAGTTCTTCAAATGAACTTATTCCTGGATAGACCATCTTAGTGAGAGTGGGTTATCAAAACCGTCAACAGCTTTCATGAATCAAATTGAGAAGCCTAATAAGATGTTTACTACATTCAATGGGGACGTAATAGTGACAGAAAAGCAAAATTTTATGGGCAAACTTCTGTTAAAGAGCAGCGACATTGACTGCCCTGAAAAAGCTAGGAAACTATTTTTCAGGTCAAGATGTTCTTCCGGATCTAAGAACTGAATAAAAGTTTGAAAGACCAGAAAAATCGTAAAAGGAAATGGAGAAAAATTGTTGCTTAGACTAAGTCAGTTCCATTTATTGCTATACCGACAGCTTAGTGCAAAAAAATTTTTCGAGTTGCGTACATTTTCACACTTGCATATAGTTAGTACTTAGTATGTTCTGTGAAATAAGGATGAATAAATGTAGTGCAGTGTTAACGTCATAAGCATGTTAACCTGCTCCACAGAACATACTAAAATATAGGTACTGTAGAAAAATCTTGTTTTTACAGTAAAGTGACGATACACGCTCTATTGTGGAGCTAAAAACCCGTTTAAGCTATAGCCTGTGAGATAGGAATTACAAGGTTGAAATCTTTTATTTAAGTCCGCCATTTTGTTTTGTATGAAATTTTAATGTAGATTGTGTAACTCGCACCACTAAGACGAATCCAACGACACTTCATATGTGAAAATCCATCCCGCCGTTTGGCCTGTAGGTGAAAATATGCACGTTATCCATATCAACCCAAATGATAATCACTCTCAGCGCGACGTCATGCGCGCCGGCGGACGAAAATCGAACAGCGGAGCATCCGGCACTGCTGCGGCGTACTTTTGTGTTCAGTTCATCCCACAGCAACTCTATCTGATTCAAATCCGCGGATAATTATGGCTAATGATGAGATCCCAATAATATTGTGCGCAAAATTTTGATCTCAATGACTTTTCATTGATGCTTGATTTCCATTGTGATGGTTTTCAATAAATAAAGAAAAATAAATACGTGCCGAATAGATTTTTTGGTTTGTTATGATTTTAAATGAAAATATGCAGGTGTTCAAATACTTTAGAACGGTAGTATATATCGACTCTCACCATTGGGATCTCGGAAACGGTAAGAGATACGATATCCGTTACAAGGTGACAAAATTGGGGATTTAGGTAACTATCGTAAGAAAATGGCACTAAGGGAGCTTCGCGATTCCGAGTATTTCTGGCGATAGACTGAATAAAAAAGAATTTTCCCAAAATCCTTTTTATTTTTTTCTAGACTTTACTTGACAGCGATTTTAAAATAAACTGTACATTCACTTTTTTTTACAAGATAGCATATTTAGAATTTCAATATGACGTTTAGCCTCTTGACCTTAGTCAACTTTATTTTTTCTCAAAGAATGCTTGCCAAGGTATATAGAGTTTAATTCTGATTCCAAAAATATATACAGGGTGGACAGAATATTACTCATAAAAAATACATTTTGAAAAATCTATGTTATACAAGACATTTGAGGGCACATTTCTAAAATATTGGCCATTATACAGGGTGTCCCAATTTCGACCTACATATCAAAGTTGTGATTTTTCAAATAGAATGTCTCAAATTTCATTGCATATTTGGATAAACCAATTCAAAAGAAGAAAATTGGAATACCTCAATTTTTATGTGATTTTGGTAATTAGCTACTGAGATATAAGGTGTTTTGTCTTGAAAAACCCTCCACTTCGCCAACCCCTCAATCCGTCATTTTGAAATTTGCAGTGCTGAATTTTGTATCAAAAAAACTTAACACATCTCAGCCTTTATCATATTGGTTACTTTTTCGAGTTTTAGTTTTTGCCCATACAGGGTGATCTAAAACGCAAATTGAAGTTTTTCTCAAAAATTTAAAATGCATCAGCCTGTATATTTGTACAAGTTTGAATCCAATTTTTTATAACCTTTTCTTTATACTAGGCACATAAGGGTTTTTACGGCTATTTTTTCGGTTATTAGCACGTTTTTTATAGAACGGCTTAATTCCCTAGAATATCGCATCATCCATGGAAACAAATAAATTGTTGGTTAGTTACAAACTGTCAAAATTAGCTTTGTGAGCATTATAATAAAAACGTTTGAAAATGATTTTTTCTAAAGAAGAAATGGTGAATACGGTGTTCGTTTTGAGCGAAGCCCAAAGAAATAGTGGTCCCAAACCACTTCAAAAAAAGAAAAAATGTTCTAAGTAGGCGCTGGGATTACCAGACATGCGTTTGTTTCATAATAGCGTCAACCAAGCATTCCTTTATTTTTATAAAATATTAGTAAAGAAGTAAAGCTATGAATAGGTGAGTTATTTCCGATTTTAAAGATTTGATACTGACACTGATTGATATTAAAGAACCTCAAATGCCTAAAAAAGTAATATTCCTAGAGTTAGCCTTAACTCATCGAATAAAGAAAAACATAACAGTAAAACTTTTCCATATTATCCAAGTGTAGCGATAGCATTGAAAACAGTAGGACAACTATAAAAATATAAGCTGTTTGAAGATAACTTGAGTAACTTTCCAAGTGCTATTTCCTTTGTTACCTAAATGCGCTACTTTGTCCCTATTTAACAGACTTTGGCATTGACCAGCCTGTAGTAGGGAATTTTAAACGCTCGTTTTTATCGGTTAAACTAAACTTTATTTTGGAAAATTCCATTCTCCCTGGATCTTCCAAATGAAGCGGTAGTTACAGTTTCTGATAGACAAAATAATATTCAAATAAATCCTTGGATAGTTTCACCCAAATACCTACCACTTGGTTTTACCTCAATAATTATGTACCCCTTGAACGGTTTCACGTAAACCAAGCAAAAAAAGTTGTCAGAAACTTCCAAATCAACCGGTTGGCGCCCTGCGAAAATGATGTAATACCTATTAGGTATTTATTGTAATATTTGTCTGTTTTGGCTCAATCTTGTCCAAATCTGAAAAGCCGTTTTTTGGAAGTTTCATTGAAATATCAAGTTAGTGTCCTCAGTAAGCAGGCTGCACCCGTGAAAACCTCATATACTCGATACGTTTTATTATAAGGTTCACCAACTTGGGGTGCGTGGACAATCACCCCAGTTTACCCCCGAATAGCTCCGGCACTGAGTTTCATCTTTTCGAATGTTAAATGCCGAAGAAGCAACTTGGTATATATTTATGTATGTGTCGGGCCTTTGCATATTTTGGACATCGTTCCTTCTGTTTGAAGTGAAAACATTAAAACATTGCATAATTTTGAGTCATTCATATTCGTTTTAACTTAAACAGGTAGATCACGCATAGGCAACCAGAATAACAAATACCGCGCAGTCTCTGGAAGCTTTGATCCAAGTTTTGAAAATTAGAATGAAAATTAGAATCTGGTTTAGTGAACTAAAGTAATAAGGAAATTAGTATTTCTAACACTTTATACTTATATGAACGTAAACATACTGTATTGCTTGGCAATTCGATCGTGAAGTCTGTATGTCAAAAACATTAAACGTCACGTTCAGTTTAGATAAAATTAAAATGAACAACAAAAGAATGAGCACCGCTTTTTCTTCTGTTCACCGTTGAAAAACAAAAAAGAAAAATAGGCACTCCTTTGTAAATCGATGTCTCACTGATTTTTACGCGATCTTTGGTAAATGAAAATTTTAGGGTCCAGGAAGGAATAAAAAGCTAAATGCAGATATTTAAAATTCACTGACCTGTTCGAGATGTCCTTGTTGAAAGAGTTAAAACTTATATCTTCTGTCGGTATGAATTCTGGTTCCATATTTCACTGAAAATCTGGATGGTAGATAGGGTTTTTGATTTAGTAGTTCTTGATTAAATTAAACACACTTTGGTTACTAACGTAAATAGTTTTGAATATGGTAGGTACCAATATAGGGATAGGATCGAGTCAGTAGAGTGTACGCTAATGAAAATGATAAATCTTGAGTGACCGAACCTATTAATTGTAAATTTTGAGAAGAAAGAATAGAGTCTGGAAAAAACAAAGGATTAAGCTGTGGTTTTGTTTATAGACGATAATAAAAATAAATTCCTAATTATTTCATCCACTTGACTACTGTCACTGCAATTCAATTGTTTCTTTCCTATACTTACTGTTTTTTGAATCTTTACAAAACAATACAAAATTATTACACTCGGGAGGGTTTGAAACATAATTGAAATTGCATTATGAGCTATATTCGATGGCAAGCTTATAAGAAAATAGAAACGAATGAGTATAAAGTCAATCTTATTTAATATTTAAAATTCTGCATTTGCGCGTCATCTAGCGCCCTTCAGCGTCTGCAGCAAATAGAAATCTGTAGTAGGAACGGAAATACTCTGCCGCCCTCTATAGGCGATAAAATGTAACTGAATTTCCTGCAATACCAATGGCGTCACATAGTCATGTTGCAAAGGCAAACAATCAGAGGCGGGGAAGTATTGTAAATTGTAAATCGAGAAGAATTAATTGTAAATTCGACATAGTTGCTTTGGCGTTTCTTGACAACTACATTGTTATAATTCGAAAAGTATCTAGCACTCGGACAGTGATGACATTTTGGCGATATGGGGACTTTGAAGTTGGGTCATTAATTTTCAGATAATGATTGTAGAAGGAAGATAAACCAAAATATGTGTGTAAAAATAAAAAAAAAATAAAAAAAAAAGTTACCTTATTTTATAAAGTATCCTCCCGACAAGTATTTCAGTGCGGACCTGTATTTGATCGTGCGGTCTTGGAGCACCGGCATGCGCTCCCCTGTGAGGTCTTAAGTCACCTGATTCACGAGCCCTTTGTACTACATTAACAAAGGCACGAGGGGTTGGTTGCACTCGATTAGGAAACCAACCCGCATAAATCCGTGATGCCGCGGCAGCATTTTGTAAAGACTCCCCCCCCGTAAATAAGAATCATGTCCACAAGTTCAGCATTTTCGTAAACATGTGCCATTTTTTATTTCGTTTGAACCACGCAACAAACACCACTATTCACTCACGCGTTAGCGACTGACACATTGATTGAATACAACTGAATAAAATTGTAGTAAAAATATCGTTTCGAATTCTTTCGCTTTTTAGTTTGCGATGCGATGATCCGATAAGGCGGATTATATCCGTTGTTGCCAAAAACGAGCACATAATATTATTATTGAGACAGGGCGGTACTCAAACTTCTAAAGGGCTATAACTTTGTTACTTTAATTTTACCAGAAAAATGTTAAAGGAAAAAAACATTTCTTTTGATCAGATCTACTCACTGTCAAAATAAATGACTCAACTTCGAAGTCGAAGTATAAGGCATCCAGAAATAAAAGGCATTGATTAACATAGGTATTCTACCTGAGGATAGCCGACCTAAAGCTATCTTCGCGCGTACAAATAATTATTCATTATATAAATTAATAAACCGCTTAGAGTCATTTATGAGAACTTGTCATAGTTGTTACTATATTTATTCTAGTTATACAGGGTCCGTCAGAAAGAGCGCATGCTTCTTTAAATGAGTAGTACAGTCAAAATAAGTATGGAAAAAATATTTTATTATATCAAAATACTCAGAAATGCATGTCATTTTTTTGAGTAGAACAAAATTTACGTTCTAAAAACTATGTCGGCCCCTCCTGAGATGAACCCGTTTTTAACTTGGGTTACTTCTTATTTCCTCGTTCAAATCGACTAGGGTCCGAGGCTTGCTTTGGTAAATGATTTCAGGTAGCCCCATAAAAAAAACAGGTCCGGGGAGCCAGACTGTTCCTGGAAATCCTTCGTTCTCAAAATACATGGTTTTTGGTAAAGTTTTTAAATATCCTTTAGATAATTTTGTTGTAATTTGGCGGTGATATTTATAGCATTTAGCTCTAACTTGATTATACTTATTAGATATGCAATGGCGTCTCGATCGGGATCTAAACGAATATTTATGAAAAAAAGATATACGCTACTGACAATTGCAATTTTCAATATGGGGCCCATCAAGTATAACGTGAGCACTAAGGGGGGGGGGGCGAGGAGATCTTTGCTTTGCTTATTTTGGATGACATGGGGGGTAGGGGAGTCTAGATGATAATTACGTCATCGGTAGTTATTTACTTTTTTTACACGAATGGCAACCCTCACATTGTCTTTGCTTGAAAACGAAACGCATTTTCGGGGATTCCCGCAAATAATGCATACGTTTAGTGAACAGCGCGCGGTAATTCCCTACTAGCTTTAGAACCTAGTAGGGGAATTACCGCGCGATGTTCACTTGTCTAAATTTCCTCTATCAGTGTATTGTTTTGGATACTATAGCGAGTAGACGTATTGTAAGCATAGTAAACCAAGTTAACATTTGTGTTACCATTGATTCCATTAGCCCAAGTTTAATGTTTAAATGAGATGTCGTTTCACATAGACAAATCCAAGTTATACCAAAAATTGTTGGAAAGTTTTAAAAAATCTCATACAAGTACGAAAGTACAAAATGTACAAAGTTAGTTAACGAAGTGTGGCGAAATTACAAATTACATTCAAAATCCGACAAGGAACTAGATATTATTTTATCTAAGAGAATCGAAGAAGAATTGCGAGCGGCGACTAAGAATAAATCCAATCTACTAAATTTTTTTCTAAGGTGAGTCACGAAGTCATTTTAGGTATCTATGAGTAGGTACTAGAAATATTAGAAATCGCCAAAAAGTTTCTCTTTACTGATTAGAAAATATTATGGCCTATCTCAAAGTATAGAGGTAATATTAATTATATTGTAGATTTATTTCTTATGATTGATTCCGTCAATTGGTTACAAAGTAAAGGATGTTAGTTTTATACATATATACAGAAAACTAACACCCTGTATTTTGTGACCGGAACGAATTGCTCGTTTAAACATATTAGATTTAAAGCCATAGGGTTTTGTATTTACCATATATGTATATTGCCATACTTTGTATTTATGTAGCTTAATAAGAGAATCTTTAGCAGAAGCCATAGAAAGTTTTTATTTTCAGGCAACCTGTAAACCTGCAGAAAAAACACAAATTATACAGTCAGCTTCAAATATTAAAAAAGAGGAAGAAGATAAAATAAAACCCGGTAATGAATCACAACAGCAATACGAAATTAATGAAAATACAGATAAACAGAGAGCAAAACCTTCTCAGGAAGCTATGAAAAATAAGATTGCTCTACTCGAAGGAAATCTGGATGCTTTGTATTCTGCCAGAGATACTATGCCAAGCCGTGCTGAAGTTGATAAACAGATCATTAAGTTGCGCGAGGAAATAAAAACAGGAAAGGTTCAAAACGCAGTTGCCCAGAAGAAATACAGTGATGGTATGAAAAGAAAGTTAGAAGATATTTGTCATGAAAATCCAGAAATAAAAAAAAGACTATATCTGAGGGATTCAGTGGGACGTCCTAATCTTGAAAGCAATCAACATTCACTATTGAAAACAATCGCGGATATAGCTTTATGTGGGAGTGCAGCAGATGATAGAAGACGAACGGAATCAATTCGTAGCGTAAAAGCTCTTGATGAACTCACACAAGAATTACGTAAAATAGGATTTGACATTAGTCGCAGTGGGACATATCTTCGTTGGATTCCCAGAAAATCTAATTCTGCAGAGGGACGAAGACATGTATCGACAGTCCCTGTTAAGCTCATGCTTATGCTGGTATCAAAATTACTTCCAATATGCTAGGACAACCGCAAGCCGTTGGATATTATGGACCAACATACATCGCTATTCGAAGTGGAAAGCATAGTTCATCTACTGCTAATACTCATGCTCAGGATTTCGAGATGTTTCTCGAACGTGAAGAGTTTCGACCATTAGCTAAAACTGAAATGGACTAGTAAAACCAGTGATAATCATGACCGTTGATGGAGGGCCAGATGAAAATCCACGTTATCAAAAGTTTGCTATACAACAGAATGGCTCCTCTTAGTCGGGAACTGGCTGGTTTAATATTGCCTCATGACCATTTTGGGTCTCATTTGGATGAACGAGGCATTACAATTGATGAACATTTAGAAAGATCTAATTTCGAATTTGCAGAAAATGTATTAGCTGAAGTATGGAGTTCAATGGAAATTGATGGCTATAATGTTAATGCAAAATATGTTGGGGCAGGTGAACAAGATCTTCCAGATTTTACAGACATTAAATGGTATTCAGAACATGTGCGTGAGAGCCAATACTTGCTTCAAATTATAAAATGTAGAAATACAGAATGCTGTCGTCCAAGAAGTGGCCTATTTAGATTACTAGACAATAGGTTTCTTCCACCACCTGTAAAAGTAAAACAAACAGTTGATGACTTGGTTTTGGATGAAGGAGGGCAATTTCTTAAACTTCCAGTCAATTTAGCTCTACGCTTAAGTGCTTTACTCAAAGATTTCCTGCAAATGCCCTACGATTAGGTTTGTCCCACGGTAAAATTGAGTCGGACATGCAAAACGTGTGGTCTTCATCATGCTTCCGTCAAGTCACTAAATCGTCACATCGAAAATTTAGAGCACCATGATGTTGAATGGCTCGATGAGAACGACGTTGACATCCCAAAATCCGATGAAAGCGAGCAAACTCACAACACTGAGCAGCAATCGAAGCAATCCAATGTCATCGAAAACTTAGAATCATGGATTCGGGTTTCATGGACTGAAGACTGTTAATTTGGATTTAATATATGTACCAAAAATTTAAAATAAGTTTGTTATGTTAGTAAGATATAATATTTTTGTCGTTTACTCTATGTTGAATAGCGTATCAGTAACATATAATCTCTATCCTAAATCTATTTTATTATTTTTCAAATTATAATTATAACCTTATAATTATAATATTAAAAAAAACAATACATTAATTAACAAATGTTTACGTAAGCATGGGGGGAGGGAGTAAGAGCTTTGCTTACTTTTGCTGACAAGGGGGATGGGGGGATAAATAATTGTAATAAATCTGCTTACGTAATACTTGAACGGCCCCTATGTTCCAACTAAGCAAATCAAAATACAGCTTTTTTGTACCTTGACTTTTTTCGTATCTTGCTTAGTTGTCGAGAAAAAAAAGTCCAGGCCACACAAGGAAAATGGGGAAACTTTCTTTTTGGAATTATGTTTTTTTATATTTTTTTATTACTAGTTGAGTAACAATAACATACAAATACTAAATTAAATTACATAATTACATTACAACTAATGAATTTTACTAAGCTAAGAAATTGTAAGTAACAGTCAAAAATTACTCAAAGATCCTCTGTCAAATTTATAGTACATACTTAATTACTCGTATAATGTATATCATCGTTAGTATAGTGAAATAAATTATTCTATAGACAACTCGGCGGAGAAAATAGTTATTGTTATCGCCCATTATATCCCTCGGCGCTATGTGTCGCCGGATATAGACATGTTTGGCCAGGTATATAATGTACTATTAGGTTTGCTTATCGCATATCCCAGATATATCCGAACCTAGCCCGTAGTATTATAATTTTTTTAATCATATAACTGGGGAAACCCGTTCAAAATGAAATGCAAGATTTGCTCATGGTATTAGTAGTGGATATTAACTTATATGGACTTATCATTGTGAAGAGAGTATATTAACATAACAACATCTTAAGGTCAGGACAGTTTACGCTGAACACTGCTTCGCGCCTCACATACTTGATTTGAAATGCGCCTCTTGATAATCGTGATTTCGCTGTTGATTGGTGTACAAAGTGAGTTTGTGGTTCCGGATGCCAAAGTTGAGGTGCTTCCAAAAGGATTCAGAGTGTCCATACCAGGTAGTCAACAGAAGAATGATTCTTCTTCATAGAAATTTGTCCCTCTCCTTTCCAAAATCAAAGGTGTTGGAACCTTTCTTCATTGGCAAAATGTTCGTTATTTTTATACTAATTCATAAAACTTATTTAAAAGCACATTTTTACGTATATATTTGTCGCGGTTTGCCAGTTGCGTTCATGTAGACAAAAAAGTAATTGATTTGAGTATATAGAGTGTCCCAAAGTTTCATGAAGAAACTATAACAAAGTTGAGAAACATGTATATGAGGGGACATAATTTTGTAGCTTACGCTTTTTCAATTAGAAATTCTATACTTTATCAAACATTTGGAAAGATCTTTCCAGAAAACTTCCAAAAAACTCTCGAAATATACCTTTTTGTTCGCCATTTTTTAGTTGTTTTCTGAAGGATTAAGAAATCCCTAGCAATAAAAGCTCCAATCTCCGCCATTCTGGACGATTCTTTATTGCGTTTTGGATTTCATTTATTTAATTATATAGCGAACCTAATGCTCTTGCGTCCAAAAGTTGTCAGTGTCCCATAGATGGCGCTGTAGCCACCCAAAAGTGAACTTGACTACGAGCCCCTTCCCACTTCAGTTGGCCCAACTATTGAAATCTTAGTTTTTTTCTTATCAAACACAAATAATAAAAGTGTAGCAGGGTGTTATAGGTTTAAAATATTAACAATGAATATTTTGATAATATATAGTAGAAAACATCAACTTTATCACTCCCTAATAAAAATTTGCAGCATAAAAATAACACATGTTGCAATTACAGCATCTCAACCTATTTTCATTTCAATGCAAAATAAGTCTCTAACGCATAGGTGGCTGTGAAAAATAAAAGCCATGACAATTGTTTCTATTAATCACAGCTGTCAGAATACGATTAAAATAGTTTTGGGTAGTTGAGGTTTTCAAAATGGTTAGAGGAAAGGTTATTATTGAGAAAATTCGGTTACTGATAATCAATTTTTTTAATTCTGGGAAATCAAACTCAGAAATTGCAACTTTGTTAGTCTTATCGCTGTACAATGTGAGAAATATTGTTAGAAGATATAACGTAACTGGTTCAGCTAATATTAAGCCACGATATGTGAATAAAAGTAATATCACAAATGCCGACCGAAGAGCATTAAGAAGAATAATCGTGAAAAACAGACGTGCCAATTACAGGTATTTACAATTAAGTGCTCTGTGGAGTGACGATGTTGGAAGGAGAATTTCGAGGTCGACAACTCATAGAGAGGCCCACAAACTGGGATTTAGCACTTGCAAGGTAAGTTTTCTTATAAAAAAAAATGAAGTAAATACCCTAAAGTTGCACAACTTGTTTATAGGACAAAGAAAAGCCACTATTAATTCCACTGCAAAAGAAAAATCGGCTTAGATGGGGTAAAGAACATAGACAATGGACACCTCAACAATGGTGTGCAATACAATGGAGTGATGAGGCCCGATTCGACGTTTGTGTTGGTGACAGTCGCAGTAGAGTTATTCGCAAAAAAAATGAAGCATTCCACGTTGACTGTCTGAAGAGAAAGGTGAAATTTCCAGCATCCATTGTGGTCTGGGGCAGTATGTCATCAAAAAGAGTAGGAAAACTTCATTTTATTGATGGAAATGTGGATACAAACAAATATTTGGCAATTTTAGAAGAATCGCTTTTACCAGTGATGGAAGAATGTTTGACATCCGGCCAAGATTTTGTGTTTCAGCAAGATGGTGCAGCGTGCCCTCAAAAATGGCTATAAAATGGATGGAAGAAGATAATGTACCACTTTTGTAATGGGTTTGTAGCAGTCCAGATCTGTCACCTATTGAAACTTTGTGCCACGAGATGAAAAGGGTTCTACGACAACATCCTGCTCGTACAATCACCGAACTGAGACAAAAGCTTCAAGAAATATGGGATTGTTTTACACTAAATTTTTGCCCAAACTTGGTTAATACTATGCCCCAAAGAATTTCAGCAGTATTAAAAAATAGAGGTGATGTTACCCAATGGTAATCTTTCAATTGTTGCTTTGTTAACTTCGCGCATTTATTCGCACATTGTTTATTTGTTCAGATGTTCTATTAGTTATAGGTCTAAGTGATTTCAAATATGTATTTTTTCCGACTAGAATGTATCTAAAATGTTTTTGAAAAAATAAGTTGTTTTAGAAGTAAATAGTTTCGTCATGTTTAGTTTATAAAGGCATATTTTGATACAAATCTTGAAGTGGGCCAACTGAAGTGGGAAGCGGCTCGTATGACCTTCAAGGCAAAATAAAAACTTTCCTTCTTAAATGGTATTTGTGAGGCATCCCCTTGAATTTCTGGCCAACATTGCATAGAGCAAAAAAAATCATATTTAGACATCTAAAATTTTGATATGACCTTGAGGCGATGGTTAAGGTAAGGTGATCCCAACAAAGCTGACAGCTCACAGCTGTGCTGTTGAAAATTTTTGATGGAGCAAATTGTTTTGATTTGACCTTGAAATGACCTTGAATATCATTTTTATGGTCATAGTCATGGCCGCATAAGACGTGAAACTTCCTCCTCTTTCCAATTCCGCTGTAAAATATTCGCTCAACCCTGAAATGATCCTGGACACACCATAATTTTTTTCAATGGAAGCCTTACAGCTGTTTTTGGAAAAAAAATTGCGCAGTTTTCGAAATATTTAGGTGGGGAGATCAAAATAGTTTGTGATTAGATAAACAGCTGTATTTTGCAATGTTTTGGACAGGGGAATTTGGGATTGGCTATGTTCAGGTAGAATACGTTAATCAATAGTTTTTGAAAATGGATAAAAACTAAAGTTAAATACTTTCAGATCAGGAGGGTATCAAGCTGTTTGCTTTTCATGGCAAACTGAATGAAGAAATGGAAGGAAGAGAAGGAGGTACATTTTCCAGGGACATTATCAAGCCAAAAAACGGTAGATGGACTTTTGTGGACAAAATTACGAAGTTGAAAAAAGGCGATATTTTGTACTACTGGACTTACGTGGACTATTTTGATGGAAAAAATAAACTCGGTTATACTAATGATGACCAAAAGTATATTGTGAACGTGGATGGTACGTGCTGTATAACTGATATTGGTACAGTTATGTGTTGATAAAAAATTAGTGTGTTTTCAACCTTCCCTCTTTTATCTATGTTTTAATACTGAAGAAACATGCAATATTCTTTTATCGTAGATACATCGGAAATAAATTATACTGACGTAACTCCACACGTAACTCCCCAAATCGATGTTAGAGGAACATGTACTGTACCAGTGACAGAAACTGAAGGACCAGTTTGTGCAGGCGCTTTAATTTTTGAAGACACATTTTCCCATTTGGATGATGGTAAATGGACTGTGGAACAACGATACGCTGATGCACCGGTAACGACAATTTGAGATTCTCATCAATCCAATTAAATAGAACATATATTCAAAAATACCACGCTTACAACATACAACAAAAACACTGAACTTGTTTGCTTTCCGCTTCGTCTGTCTCCACAACTAGACGTACGACCTATACCGCACTGGTGAGTTGTCAATGAGCACGAAACAGTACTGTATGTGGTTGGTTGTAGAAGACGAAAAAAAAACAAGGAAGCTTTTCAGGCACTCACGCTGCCAATAATTGAAAAGGAACGATAACATTGTCAAGTTATCAAAGGCAGGTCCTGAAAAAATGATGACTGCTTCAACGAAATCCTAGAGAACAATAAGAGAGAATTTATAAAAATTATGTATTGCAAATTGGAATTTGAACAAACACGCATGATTACGTTCTGAAGTAAAGTAGTTTTAATTTTCAGGATTATGAATTCGTAATGTACATGAAAAGGCCAGAAACTGTTGGAGTAGAAGACAGTAACCTTAAGATAAAACCTGTAATATCAGACCAAGTATTTGGAACTAATTTTGTCTATTCTACTAAGGGATACGACTTCGGGGACAGGTACCTATTTTTCTGTAAGGGGAAATAACAAAATGAAGAGAAGTGCAACGATATATTTTTTTCATACTGACAAGCGTTAGACAGTAAGACTGGAAACACGCATCCAACCTGTCGATTTTATGAGAGTCAGATTATTCTGTCAAAGATCTGTAGCTTACCAGTGGAATGCAGGAGATGCTTTTTACCGACGAATTACACAATTCCCCTTTATTCCTTAAATTCTGTATAAATGTTCTCCTGCAATCTTGCAAAGAGACAAGGTACTAATTATATCAGTACATAGACCACCTTTCATTAATGTTAGATGATTCATGACCGATGTGAAGGACCTCCTGAGGAAGTCAATGGATAATGACGACTAGTGAATATACACGGGCGATATCAATACTGATGTACCGGACGAGAACGACATGCTGGTGCAAGATTATCTAAACATGATATAGGTAGGGTAAAACCGGGATAGACGCCGCAGTGGGATAGATGCTTCATATTCTAAAAACCTAACTTGCCGAACGCGAGGCTAAAAATTAATTGTATGAGTAGGGGCTGCACTTTCGCTTACCCCGCACCTCACTTACCCACGGAGAGGACGCGTTTCGCTCCTGTGTGTCATTATCTCCGCGGCGAAACTTACGAACACGTCAAAGTTTTGAAGGTTAGTATTTTGTTATGTTAGTAATAAATTCCGTTATAGTCCTTATAACGTTAATTTACTAGTTCATTAAGTGTGCATGTAGGTGTAAATAGATGCTATTTTGTTTATAATTTCTTCAATAAATACTTGGGCATATATCCCTATCACAGAGGATAGTTGCCCTAATTTTTTGAGGTATAGGTGCCCTTAGGGGCATCTATCCCACTCCTTATATGGTATAAGCACATACATATTATTATATTTAAAGATTTTAATTTATGTGATATTTTCTATATTTACGTATATTTATATTTGGACATTTTACTGATTTTAGCAGAACCATGCCACGAAAATATAAGAGAAAGGAATGAGTGCAAGTTCCGGTATGTTTTTGCACTACAGAAATCCTACAAAAGAACTATGGGGATAAACGAAATATACCGTCAATTTGGTATTCCATCATGACATTGAGAAGACTATATACTATAAAAATAAAACAAAATTGATGATGGGTATGTATTAAAAATCATGTACGAGTAGGTAGTACAAGATATCATAAACTTTTATTTTAATGATTGCTACCACTATTTTCTAATAGATTTATTAACGTTAGTTATTTGTTTTAGGAAAGCATCCTGTTTTAGATTGTGACAACGAGAAGAGGCTAGTAAAACACATTATTAAACTTGGTTAGGCAGGATTTCCTCCAAATAGGCACGCCATACGCATGTTAGCCTATCAATTTGCTGAAAAACTAAATCTAAAACATAATTTCTACCACGATAATGAAATGGCTGGAGCCGCATGGTTCAAAAGTTTTATTGAACGAAATCCGGAACTATCTATCAGACAAGCTGAAGGTTTATACTGATACTTAATATAGAGACGAATAGTTTATAACAACAATTTAGTATTCCTGTTTTTTGTTGGTTAAATGCTTGTAAAGTTGATTTTACCAAAAAATATGATTATGAATGTTGTAACTTGAATTTATATGTTAATTAAATATAATAATAAAAATATTAAATAAAAACTAAACGTCTTCATTATTATGACCCATATTTCTTGGAGACAATATGCTGCTGTTTTAGGAGTAGAACTTCTTAACATTTGGATTGAGTATTTTGTTTACAGGATATGAAGGGCATCTATCCTGCACTATAGGCATCTATCCTTTTTAGTTTTTTCATGGCGGGGCAACTATCCATATAGATAGGCATCTATCCTCAAAAAAAAAAAGTTCCACGAAAGGTGGATTTCTGAGAAATCTGTAATTGATAGATTCAAAAATGATGATAGTTATTCAACATAAGGGATTGAACTAGCTACATTCATAGAATTTATTTGTATTAATAGTCTTAAAGTTAGTCAAATATTTCAAAAAGTGGGGCATCTATCCCGGTTTTACCCTACGTATTTAACCTGCATCCACTTATTAACATCCCTACTAGAGAAATTGAAACATCATCTAGTTGTCTAGACCATATATTTGTAAGACATGAAAAACGAAAGAAATCCAGTCTGCGTGCTATGCTTACGTAATTAAATCAGATAGGACACTATGTAACGGCATTAACGCTATACATAAATAAGAAGGTTTTAAAAATAAAAATAATAGTTATAACAAACACTATAAGGAATTTGTTGATCACAGTAAACTACAAACTGATTTGAGACTATCACTACTTCTATACCATAAAAGATGTTAATGAAGCAAGTTATTTCATGACTGTTGTTTAGAGTAACATAAAAAACAACACAAAAAAGTAAAACCGCCAAGAAAGGATTGGGTAACAAAAGGCATAGTGAAATCAATTAATAATAAAGAGGAGAAGTATAGCAAATCCAACCGATCAATTGAAGCAGGAATATCTAAAGTATAAAAACAACTACTTTGATCAAAAGACTTAGCAGGACAATTTCACTCTACAACTTGTTCAGAATAAAAATAATTCAAAAGTATTGTGAGAAACAGTAGAACAAAATGTGCCTATCCAAAAAACCGAATAATAATATAAGCAAAGTCAATATTGGCGATGAGACATTGGATCCAGAGTTAGACATAGCAAATGCGTATAATGACTTCTTCGCTAATGTAGGAAAAAAAAGTGGTAAATAAAAATCGTAAAAACACTTGCTTATCTCCATTTTGATTGAACCTGTCTCGGAAAGTGAGCTCTCAAACATTACACAAACCTTAAAAAACAAAAGAACCCTGGTTTAGATGGTATGCGGGTTGAGTTAGTGAAACAGGTCGCGCATGGAATTTCTGAAATTTATAAACCTTTCTAAGCTTTTTAATAAACCTAAGTATACAAGTTGAGGTATGTCCAGATATTTTCAAAGTGGGTATAGTAGAACCTATGCACAAGGCAAGCGTATTTTCCGAAATTGTTGGAAAAGTTTTACAATACAGACGCATGCAATTTTTTTAAAAACATAACCTACTTAATAAAAATCAGTTCGGATTCAGAACAAACAGTTCCACACAGATGCAACCTGTTTTCGCACATCTAGATTATATAAACTGCTTGACCAAAGCAAGTTCACATTCAGTGAAGGAAAAACAATATATACTAAGTGACATATAAATCCGAACACCCAGTTTAAATGTTTTTATTTTAATAAAAGTTGGTGAATGTATTTATCTTACTGTAAATAACAAGTGAAAAAATTTTCAGCCTTATCAGTTGGACATTCCGGTTTTTATACTGCTTTTTTTAATTCACTAACGCTCTAAAAATGAATATTTCAGCCGCAGTAAAGAATCAACGTTGGCGGATTTTGGTTCTTGACATCCTTTACGATCGGTTACGATGCCTAGAGTACGGAGACCTGTACGATTTCGTCAACTTAGTGAGTTTGATAGGGGCCGTATAGTGGGACTTCGGGAAGCTGGACTTTCTTTTCGGGCAATTGCCGTTAGAGTGCAAAGAAGTGTAGACACTGTGGTTAGGTGTTGTCAGGCATGGCTTCGAGAAGGCCTTACGCAAAAAGCAAGGGGCACTGGACGCCGCCGTAGAACAACAGACCGTGAAGATCGCCGCCTAAGATTATTGGCCTTGAGGGACCGTTTCTCCACTACCAGGTCCATTGCAAATGAATGGTTTGCAGAACACGGAAGACCTATTGGCATGCGAAGTGTTTACCGACGAATGAGAAGTTTTGGCTTGTTTTCATACCGGCCACACTGGGTCCTCCCTTTAACTCGAGAACACCGACGTAATCGCCTTGAGTGGTGCAGACAACGGTCACTCTGGGATCAGGAATGGAACAGTATTGTCTTTAGTGACGAGTCTCGATTTTGTTTAGGCATGCACGATGGTCGTGCCAGGGTTAGAAGGCGACGTGGTGAAAGGAGGAATCCACAGTTTTTTGTTGAAAGACATGTTCATCACACTGTTGGAGTTATGGTTTGAGGTGCTATAGCTTATGGTTCCAGGTCACCTTAGTCTTCATCAGAGGTAACATGAACGCGCAGCGTTATATCCACGAAGTTCTAGAACCCCATCTTTTACCCTATCTTGACACCCTGGCAGATCCAACTTTCCAACAAGATAATGCCCGACCACATGTTGCAAGAGTCACAATAGACTTCTTTCAACATAATGATGTTACATTGTTAGCATGGCCACCAAGATCTCCCGACTTATCCCCAATAGAGCACGTGTGGAATATGATGGGTAGGAGATTGCTCAATTTGCAACGTCCTCCTCAGACTCTAGAAGCACTTCGAGAGTTGGTGGTCGTCTGGAATGAGATACCACAGGAGGACATTGACCACCTGATCAGAAGCATGCCTAGGCGCGTTGGAGAATGCGTAGCACAACAGGGTGCATCCACACATTATTAAAGGTCAAAGGGCTTTAAAGCAGTGCAATCATTTTGAAATTTTTATCATTTACTTATTATGCTTCATTAAGTACTTATACAAAATTTTATTAAAATAAAACCATTTGAACTGAGTGTTCGGATTTATATGTCACTTAGTATAAATATGCTGTGTACCTCAAGGTACAGTTTTGGGCCCCTTGTTATTTAATTTATATGTGAAAAGTTTACTAGATTTACAAATAGAGCGAGCTGCCGTTTGTTTTTCTGATGACACTGCTATGCTTTATTCACATGCATCATCGTGGTATAACCTTAAATATAAGGTAGAAATGGATTTCGTTATAATTTCTGATTGGTTAAACCGCAAATGCCTCACTATAAGTTACCAAAAAACGATGTTTATGCCGTTTCCAAATGACAAAAGAAGGCTTCCTGATTATACTGCTGTTCATATAAAACAAAATCCAGAAAGTACTCGCAAAATCATTAAAATCGAGTCTACCAACAAAATCAAGTACCTGGGCGCACTTTT